AGTCCAAGCAGCGGCTCAGTGGATTGCGATACAGCACGCACACGAGCATCTCGCATCGTCTGAGGTGAATCGAACACCATAACTGCTCACATAGACCATCAGCGCTTCGATAGGTGCTTACTTGTCTTCAACACAAGGAAGACCCTATGTAAAACTGAACGCCACAGCGATCATTTGATGGTCTATCACGGCGGAAGCATGAGTAGCCGCTGATTTCCACTTCTTGGCGGTTAAGTCGGAGTTTAAACACGTCTCAGCAAGGCTTAATACGTATGTCGTTGAGAGGTCACAAAGTAGCACAGCTCATCGCGTTTGTTTATCAGACTGCAGATGTTAGTAAAGGCTACGCGCAGGCCACGGTAGGAACAGGTGGGCGAGCCGGAAGCATCAGAAACCTGTTGATTCGGATTCGCGAAGGAATCCGCATGACTACGCGAAAATTTACAATACAGAGATTTATTTCTCCATTGTCCGTGCGTCGCTTTAGTTCAATCATCGCAGACTTGAGTTTCTAAGTTAGTGCGCAAGTGGATCTTTAGACCTGTCAGCATATTAAGGCGGGACAATATTAACTTAGGACTTGCCTCTTCAACAAACGTCACCCTCATAAATCGACTTTTGGCCTCGGTTCCTTTTTCGAGAAGAACGATCAGTTTCACTTTCATCCCGCCCTCGTCCATGTCGAGCAGCCTAGTAATCAGAGGTTGCGAAAACTCGACGTCATGTTCATAGCGCACCGGAGGATTGGAATCACAGGATTCAGGTGCGTGAAAGACCATGAGGCTGCAGCGCCTCAGGTCGCTGGATATGGTTCCTGGTTTCTTTGGTATTTGCATTTTTCTTTTGTTATCACCAATGTGCTTATTGCAAATTGAAGTTTCAGTGTCAACTGAAGAAATCGTAGGCGTTGAAGCCGAGCTTGCCGGAGCGCTAGCACTTTGCTCCGGGGATAGATTCGCTGCCGTACTAGGTGTTGGTTATTTTCATGATTGTGGTGCAGGACAAATCGAGCTGCGCGTTTCAGCGCACTCTGCTTTACTGATCCGCTTGTCAGCCTTTTCGGCTCCTTTCTGCCCAAGCTTTGACACTGCTTACAAATGATCTTTGAAAAGTCGTGCTGAATGCGTTGAATTACGCGAAATTGGAACACAGACAGACCAATACATGAAACATGAAACTTAACGCTGCATAAACTGCATGTAATCGCATTTGCGCGATGTCCAACGACTTGGGAGCAACTATCACAAGGTGTCTGCTTTGCCATTTCAAAACTACGTACCGATCAATTCGACTAAATCAGTGTAATGCAGAATCACAAAAAATACAACAAACTAGTACACGTATTTATGATGAAGTAATTCCGAATAACTAGTGTGAGTGAATTACACAAATATTTACGAGACAAAAGAACATTAACAATGTAAAGAACGAGGTAAACTGGTCTGAGGAGGACACGTGCAAAATACGACAAGAAACGGCGCTATACGCAGTGATGATGATGATGACCGACATTTCGCTGCCACGTAACCATCACTAGTTACGCGCGGCTTAAGGATACTACGAAGATCGCGCGGCTCCTTACGCAGGCTCTAAGCGATAAAATCCAGGTTGAAAAGCAGATGCCTTGTCCTTTCCACCACCATCCAACAGTTATCACAAACGTATGAAATGTATGTCTCAAATTCTAAGCAGAAATGCATCTAGCACGCCAAGGAAAGTACATCGGAGACAACTTGCCCGCCTATCTTTATGCACTCGAAAGGATCTGTGAGGCTCCAAATACTTTGAGTAAAGTAACAAAAAGTGAAATGTTAAAAAATCCAAACAAGCATTTCAATATCAATTGAAAGCTACATGTGACCAGAAGTTTCGTGACAGAGAGAAGCATTAGTAGATAGTAAGGGAGCATGAGATGTAGGTTTATGATCGCCAGAAAAAAGACGAGCAATGATCCAGTTTAACGCGGGATCTTAAAATCGGCTGTTGCTGTTTTGACTGAAACAATGTTTTATTGTTGTTTAGTGTTAACTTCCGCGGAATAGTGTTTGGCAATTCCTTCGACTGATCCACTGCCAAGAATGTCAATGCTGTTCTACTCCGACGATTTTCGAAACAAGTTCTATACATTGCATGCAATGCGCGATTTGTTGCTTTTGGCCGTAAAGATTGAGAAACGCACGAATAAAGTAAGGAAGTACTATGCTCGCTGTTTGCTGATACTGGACCGATGACCCAAGTGACCTTCGGGTATCAATTGTCGTTTCCATTTTACTACTTGTATAATTGTACAAGTTTATGTTGTTACTTTATATGCAGTCGATTATTTGAAATGCAGAAATGTACTCACATCCACAGGTGCATAAAGCTCATATTGACTTGACCTGAGAGATCAAAGGGTAGCATGAGGTGTGGTGTGTCGGGCTGCTGACTGATTCCTACAAACTCATTCTCGAAATGGTGACCAAGTGTCTCTCTTATATCGTTCTCAGAGAGCAACATCGGCGCAGTGTCCCATACAGAGCAAATAACTTTCATGACGGGATAGTTTAGCACCGTACTCATCAAAGTTGGAAACTGAATCGCCGTAAGAGTGTACACTTCTTACAGTATTCCTCTAGGAATATCGGTTTGCTTGAGTCAGAAGCAATACCCTCGGCAAAGAAATTCGATCGACATGTCATGGAAAGTAGCACCGAATTGTGGATCGCGTAGCTGAAGAGTGAAATCAAATCATCGATGAAAACCGTGAAAGAAAGAAAGGCAAGACAAACGAAAGTGCTCATAGTCGATCAGTTCGTGTGGCCAAAACTACCTGAGCGTCGCATCTAACTACATACTAACGTGATGTCGCAGGGAGTACAGACTATCAGATTCTTCACCATCCACGATGAGAAGGGTGTTGAGAGGAAATCTGTTTAACCTATAAATACTGATTTAACTGGTTCGAGTAACTGGAAGATTTGATAATAACGAAATAGGGGAGGCGTGCCATAGGCTCGTGGTGATGAATGTGAGCCCAACCAGAAAACAAGCCATTACAGCGATAAGAGATAGTAGTACACTGACCGCAGAACGAGACGTGAGCGTCAAAATGAAGCGTATGATAGATGGGCACTAATGGAGAGAGCAAACTAGGACAGCAACAAATCGTAGAAGATTCTAGGTTGGATTTCTAAATGAAGATGCATATGGCACACTGAATTTTGAGATGAAAATCGTGAATGTAGTGCCGTCTTTAAAAGTATGACTGTCAATTCTGGTCACAGCAAAAGATGCAAGTAAAGTTGTTGGAATGCCAGATATAGACTCAAATGTGAGGTAAGTGGGGCGTAAAGCAATTAAATCCATACGCGGGGGATGTTCACTGAGTTAAAACTTCTAAGAGGTTTTTGTATAGCTCTAGTAGTACTCTCTAGTGGTAATAGTAGTGAAGACGGCCGAGCTATACATAGTGGATGCACGAATGGATGAGGTTTTATAGCCAGAGTGATCCTGACGTAATGGCGCTGTAATCCATGTATTTTCATATGATGCACAGAGTTACGGTAGTACCGTAATTGGCAAGAGATTCGGAAATGCTCGAAAGAACTACACAGTAAGAGACGCTGGAGACAATGAGTCTATCACTTCCAATGAGTCATACACCGAAGAAAAAGAACTCTTCCGTCAATATGTTGCGGTTTGATAGCAACGCTGAAGATGACGCAGGCTGTTCTAAATCAAGGACAGGCTACTTCGACAAATTTCATAGGATGTTTTAGAACACCGGAGCACAGTCATCAAGAGAACGGTGAAAATAGCGCACATAATACATGGAGTCCTCGGGAAGCAGGAGCTTCACGACTCCCGCTGATGTTATAGCCCGTAATTTTTATGGCCCCTCAAGACCATAAAGGATAAATGTAACAGATCATTGCACCCATAAGCCGATGGAGGTAGAAGACGCGTAGAGCCTCGGCCCATCGTTCCCCAGGCAGACAAGAATGTTAGCGTTGCAAGTCTGGGAATTGGCTATTTGCCCTGCAAGTCCGGAAAATGTAGGGTATCAATGGGCGACCTTCCATACAGCTGAGCAATCTAGTAAAGGGGGGAAATGCCCCTCGGGGGTAGAAAAAGTGCCCGTTGTATGCGTTGAATTAAAATGGCAAAGCAAACGGGGACAACGTTAGTCTATACAATAGCATTTTTATAGAGTGGACGAGCATGGTCTACCAAACGCAACTGTAATGCCTTGTAAATCAGAGGAACTACAGAAGGTCTACGCTAGTGACTGAGTGAAAATGTCAGACAAAAATAATGCAAGAGAACAAAGGGAGGACCACAAGAGGAAAGAAAATGGGAAACACGCAAATAGGGGCATCATTTGAACTAGCTCTATTCGTAGGTCTCGAATATTCCGGAACCTCATAGTAGGCGAGTAAGGTATGCAAATCCAAGTACCCGAATGGTGTCACCAACGCTAGGGTGTAATGTTAGCCCCGCAAAACGGTTATTAAAATTCAAAACTTATCCGATACAGTTTATGGTTAACATCACATGACAGTATGCAGGGAAGCCAGTCAGTATGTGTTGGCCTAAAAGCAGGTACTACTGTGACAAGAGTAAGTAGTATAGAAGTGTCAAGAAACCCAAAAGGTAACTAACAATAGCCACAACGGAAGAAAACCATTGGAAGCCGCAGAGATGCGGAATCACCGCGCACCGCGCGCAGTCTTCGGTAAAGAGTTCAAAGATGAGCGAAACGGTTGATACATATGGTTCATTAGGTCTATTTGTGAAAAACAACAATCACATTCACACTGGTTTCTAGCAAGCAGAGAAAGTGCGGACAAATAGGTGGTAAAAGCTGACTTGTGATACGCGATCGATGGGAACGATGAACGACAAGCACAGGGATGCGCAATGATAGAATGATAAACAAGAACAAGTGCAGGCATTCCTTGGACCAAATACGTACAATAAGTGACACTTAAAAAGGGAAATGGATGGCGGTCACATACCCGAGCGATTTCCAACTTCTCATCCTCAACATAGCCAGAAACTTCGATCATTTCCATACGGTCTCGAAGTGGTTCAGGTATGGTATCCAACTGATTTGCTGTAGTAATAAATAGCACACGGCTCAAGTCTACGGTTACGTCCAAATAATGATCCAAGAAATTGGCATTTTGCTCAGGATCCAGCAGCTCCAGAAGTGCGCTAGCTGGATCACCTTGCCAACCGCGGCCGAGTTTATCCACCTGAAGGGGGAGGGGCACAATGGAGCAATGTCCAACGACCGAGTACGAAAATAGTACGAAACATATGTTCCAGGAGAATTGAGATAATAATGGAAAAGTGCACAAGATGATCAAAATTTTGGTGGGACACAGGAGCAAACTCACCTCATCTATGAGAATGAGAGGATTTTCTGTCTTCGTTTTCTTTAAACACTGTATAATCTTACCAGGCATCGCACCCACATAAGTACGACGGTGCCCTTTGATTTCTGAAACATCCGACATACCACCGACGGAGAATCGGAAATACTACGAAGAAAAAAATACGAAATGGTGAGAAGTTAATGGTACTGCAATAGCCTACCTCGGTGGACTGTTAAGTACAAGGTGTGCTAAGACAGCGAGATATAGTCTCTGCGGTATGTGTTATCCTTCAGTGGGCCTGGAACCTTCAAATCATATAAGGTGGTAAGCTGACGTAAAGTGGATAAAATGAACACAGTAAGATCGAGAACGGTTTGCGCGCTGAAGCGGGGAAACTCAATCGACGTGATCCATATTGATATCAGTTAAGATGAATCATGAGGCCCTCCTACACAAGTGTACGGTTTTGGTAGTTACATGTAACAGTGGACAAGTGACCTAATTGAGTGAGAGTGAAGGGCCCAGATAGATGACCATCAAACCAAGTGGTGTCCTTCGACAAGCGTCACACTGCAAGACAAAGTATTGGAACCTATTCTGCTCCTAATCCACATAAACCAAACACCTCAGCATCCTCAGATGCTCTGTGCTTTTGTTTCAGATGATAGGAAGATTTGGGGAGCAAGCAACTGATGTTCCTGGCGACTATGACGTACTTCAGCATGACCTCGACAACTTTTTTGTATGGTCTGTATAGGTAAGAATTTCAGCCAAAACGGATAAGTCCGTCATCATGGTCCCGGGGGAAAGATGGCAATGGGGGAATGTACACAGTTGGTTAGGCAAACCGCCGCATCCCACACGTTTCACAGAGGAAGTGGACAACATGAGGAGGCTATATCGTAACAGTCTGCGCACGTTTTGGGTGCTCAAACGCAGTTTCTGTACTTGGTATGAGAAGATCACCATTCGGCTCGATGATTCCAGCTTCGAGTGGCAAAACATCAAAACAGATTGTCAGAAACAATGGTCTGGGCAAAATCGATATCGAGATGTGAAAAATTCCTACATACCTACGTTGCAGACAAGCAATTCCGAAAGCGCATCGCACCCGAGCAAGGCGTTTCACAACTGAAATATGTTGCAATTCGCAGCAATAAATGATGTTAATTCTCATGTGTGCCAGATAATATTTCGATGGAGGAACATAGATGTATATTCTTCCATAGCTCCATATTTTCAGTATTCATGAATAATGCCCGGCCTAACAATTCTGCTGCAATCAGCAGATACGAAGAGATTACGAGATGGGACGTAGTTTTAGACAAATCAAGTAACTCATGAGAGAGGGTACGTCAGGTATCCCTTTCTGTCAGCCAAAAATTCTATGTGTCACGCGATTCCGCAGTCGCATTTAGTTACAGCCGAAAAGAAAGGAGTTCGGTACGGCAATGCAATTTATGAGGTTTCAGGCAGATGCATTTTCGGCAGGGATGCAATGAGGATCCAAAGGATGAATATATGAAAGAACGAGCAAATAGCTGTCTGGAGTAGGGTCTGTTTGAACCTACATCATTGAACAGCCTAGTGCGCAAAATGTAGCATTCAAAGACATTCCTGCTGCGCCACTTTTTCTCATGGCTGGTGGATCCATAAACACTACATCACAAAGTATTGCATGCAAGCGATACGCAGAGTGACCGCCCGAAGATAAGAAGGTTTGCGGAGCTCCCAGCTCGCGTGCATAATCTAGAGTAGCATAAAGTAAAACGCGGCTGTCATGCCGAAAAACCTCCACGCGGTGTCAGCTGGGTGGTTCGAATTTCGCCCGTTTCAGCAAAGGGTTCGGAGGCAGTGTTCCAACATGTGGTGGACTTTCGTCTGGCAATCGTTCACCCCAGAAAAAGTCACATATGTCCATTTAAGAACACTGCGACGTGGCGGATGCTACCCGCTACCAAACGAAATCACTGCCCTTTGCTTCACTCTGGTGGAGCACTACATTACAGCAACGTGATGCTGAAACTATGGAGAGGATCGGACCTCTGTTCAGCAAACGACCAAACTATAGGCGTATGAACTGAGTAGTCAGTCACCGCGTCCCAATGGGAGCGACTCAATTAATTCGCTCCACTGACTTGCGGGTAGGCTGTTCAGCCAAAGACTCTACTTCGGTTTGGGCAACAGAGTAGTATCATGCCCTCTAAGGAAATCATGGACTTCACTGGTTGGTGTTCGGTTTTCTTTCGGTACTGCGTCGACATGGGTCGTGCAGAACATCGGCAAACCAAGCAACAGCGATGTGGACTCCAGGAGTAGACGCATGGTGCGTGATTTCCATAAGCCTAATGGTGAGGAAGTAGGAGGACCAGATCGGCAAATGTCTATGAAAAATGGAGATAAGGACAGCGAAAGATTGGCTGCATAAAGCAGAAGCGACATTTTCCGGACTTATCAGATTCAGTAATGGGAAATCATGCGATCGAGATTTACTCAGACATCTCCGGAGCTCATCGGTGGGGATTCTCAAGCCACCAAGTTATATCGGATAAAGTGTCGTCAGGATATAAATGTTGCGGAAATGACTTCACTACCTGATATGCCCATAGCCGGTTGTCTACTCGCGAATTCAATCAGCGGGGCAGCGTTTTTGTGACAGCAGAGCATCAATTCGTCGTTTGCTTTGTCCGATGTACTTCCTGAGCGCAATGGTCCATTCTGCATTATGTTTGTTCGCAGTTTGTCGACCGTTTGTATACACCGCTTACTTCTGCTGCCAAACGGTTGAGTCTCCGAATTCCATCGGAAACGAGCCAACACAAATGATTGGATAAATGCACTACCACCGTGTTGGAATTCCTCCAACAATAAACCTATTCCATACAACAATGAGGCAATCAACATCACCGGCATTGATATTCTCGCTCTGCACAGCGATAGTGCATTAACATTGAAGATACTGCGAATACCAGAAAACCGCCATCATCGCAATCGGTAAGAAATAACGCAAGACACAAACCGCAGTCTTTTCTCTCAACCGAATATACACAGTAAGATGTGTGTGAATCAAACCATGACGTAGCAATCCAGTTAGAAAGTGGGTGAGCAGGAAGATGCTGGACGGCTTTCTTGAAGGCGTTCCGCTGCCAAACAGAGGCATCATTAACGCAAAGCTATACAAAACTATTTGTATTTCAGGCTTTTCTAAGTTATCATCTGTGTTCCAAAGGTGGCCACTAGGTCCAGGTGCTTAGTGAGTGAATATTCACCCAGGTGGATACTAGGCTTCACGTAATTAACGTAACCTCATGCCTTTTGTTTTTCGTTGTGTCAGGACGCTCTTTGGAGCAAACTGCATGCATGTGACAAAAGTGGAGCGTCGTCTAACTATGATAAATGGCTAGTCTATGATGGTATGGAATTGTACCAAGAGTTCTTCATGTCTGAGCAAAGCTGATCTACATCACAACTTATGGGTTACATCTGTTGTTGCTTCTTCGTTCAGCTTGTCCTTAGTTCTGACGATCAACACACACCGCGATCTCCACCAGTAGGCCAGACTGTCGTTTGGTGTCAAGACCGCAGCAGCCATTTGCCAAAAGACGATGGATGCCATGATCTCTGGCATTCCGGGTACGGCCGCGTACCTAGATGATCTCCACTACTTGCCGCACCCCAGATCAACTGCGATAACGTCCGTTTTTTGTATTTGAACGGATCCAGGAGTAGGGCCTCCGTCTAAGAGTGGATAAATGTCAATTCTTCCTTCGATCGATCAAGTATCTCGGCTTTGTCTTCGATGCTAATGGCCGTCATCCTGACCCCGAAAACGTCTGAGCCATTCAACAGATGCCGTCCCCCAAAGATGTGTTACAAATGCGTATCTTCCTTGGCCTCATCAGCAACTTCAGTGCTTTCTTACCATCGCTACACAACGTACGGGCCCCGCTCAATCGACTGTGGCAAAAAAAACGCTCCATGACCCTGGTGCCCCGCTTGTGAGAATGCCTTCGTTCGTCCGAAATCCATGCTGCGTTCTGACCTACTGTCGACCCATAACGACCCAACCTTGCCGATTTTGGTCGCTGCCGACGCCTCTGCCTACGGGATCAGAGCAGTTCTCTTCCATCGCTTCCCAAATGGTTCCGAAAAAGCGGTTATGCACGTCTCACGTACTATGGTCAAATTGAAAAGGGAGCCCTGGTCATCGCGTTTGCCGTTACCAAGTTCCACAAGATGCTGTATGGCCTGCGGTTAGCGCTATTGACTGATCCAAGCCATTACTTTCAATCTACGGTTCAAAGAAGGGAATTCCCGCACATTCGCCTAGCCGACTTCAGTGTTGGGCTATCATCCTTCTTGCTTACGACAACGAAATCCGCTACTGCCGTACTCAGGATTTCTGTCAAGCCGATGCACTCTCTCGCTTGATTTCCAAACATGTTACAAAAGAAGAAACGGTGATCGCCGCTGTTACCGCCGAGGAGGATGTTCGTCATCAACTCACGAACGTTATCCGAAGTTTCCCCATTACTGTCACCGAAAAACGTCGCGCAACTGCTCAAGAATCTGTCCCGCAGAAAACCGTCACTTACGTTCAGACGCGCTGGCCAAACACTGCCTTTCCTGGCGAACTGAAACAACTGTATCAACGCCGCGACTACTTTTTCGTAGTCGATTCTTGCCTCATGACTGCAGACCGAGTTGTCGTTCCTTCATGCTTCCGGTAAGCTGTACTCCGCCAGGTCCGTTCTGCTCACCGGTATGAAAAGAATGAAAACAGTCATTCGCAGTTATGTGTACTAGTCTGGCATAGACAACGAGATTCAAGATTTGGTTCACCTCTGCTAAGATGTTAACAAGCATCCAAGACGACACCACACCAACCACCAGTTCCTAGGCAATCGCCAGATAAACCGTGGTCTTGAATGCACATCGACTGTACTGGTCCGATCGATGGCATTTCCTACCTGGTCGTGGTTGGCGCCTATTTCAAATGGCCTGAAGTGGTCGCCGTCAACCCACTAATCGCATCCGCCACCCTGGGTTGTCTACAGCGAATATTCAGTCAGCATGGACTTCACGAGGTCTTAGTCTCCGACAATGGCACCCAGCTTACATGTTCCATGTTCGAAGACTACTGTCGACAGCATTGCATCCAACAC